GCACTAAAGCTCATGTGTTCCTATAAGCATTCTGCTGCCTCTTAAAATATCCTGAAAAAAGCTTTGAGAAATTATGTGGACTCACTAATTTCCCAAAGATTTGATTTTAACCCTACACCTAATCAGAAAATAACATTTTCTCAAGATACAAAACTTAATAGTACCACTATTGAGGAAGAGTCAAAGATAATCAACATGCCTGAGGTGTCTGTCAGATCACTGGCTTTGATTACTGGCAAAGTTGTGTCATCTTGGGACTTGTATTCTCCAATGCTGCTTGGTGAAGAGTGTGGAAACCTGTATCATGATGGTCATAATCCTTCCAGATATAAATGGATTAAATCTATCTGTTAAAGGGCAGACATTATTATACTGAGAGAAATCCTGTTTGGGATACACCTAAAGCAAAAAGACAAGGAAAATTATGAGAATAAAGGATGGGAGAAGATATGCCAGGAAAATATTAACCAAAAGAGAACTGACATGACTATATCAATATCACAAAAAATAGGCTCTAGGACAGAAAATGTTACTATACAACGATATAATTTTTAATTCACCAGGAAGACAAGAATTCCAAGTGTTTATGCACCTAATAAAAAAGTTTTGCACCATATAAATAAAAACTTAACATATAGGGAGAAAGGGACAAATCTACCAACAGTTCTCTCTCAGTTATTGCTAAGTGAGCAGCAAAAAAAAAAAAACAAAAAACAGAAAAAGAACTCAGTAAATATATTTGGACAACTGTGACCTGATGGTCATACATAAAATCCTGAATGTAACCATCAGAGTTACATTCACAGAGTTCTTAAACACACATGAAATGGTTACAAAAATTAGCCATGTACTAGTCATAAAGCACATCTCAATAAATGTCAAAAAAGTAAATATCACATCCATCACATTCTTTAAACACAGTATAATTAAGTTGAAGTCAATAACAAAAAGATAAGAAGTTATCATATATTGGAATTTTAAAAATAGAATTCTAAATAATTCGTAACTCCAAAAAGAAATTATCATAAAAATTTAGAAGTATTTAGAATTATAATGAAAAACACATACTTGTGTGTTACAGTGAAAGGGGCATTCAGAGGAATGTGTAGTCCTAAATAGAAGGGAAAGGATAATGAAGAAAAGAGTAGGCAAAATAGAAGGGAAAGGATAATGAAGAAAAGAGTAGGCATCAATGAAGTGTGGGGGAGGGGTGCCATACACCGGAAAGAATTGACAAAGTCAAATACTGGTCCTTTAGAAAGATTGATAAAATAGACTAATTTCTGATGATACTGCTCAAGAAAAATAAAAAGGTGCAAATATTTAAACATAAATCCAGCAGAAGATATTTAACTACAGATACAGCAGAAACTAAAAAGTGGAATCAATAAACAGTTTTATACTGATATACTTGACAATTAGATAAAATAGACACATTTCTGGAAAAATGCAACTTTATCAATGCTGACTCAAGAAGAAATAGAAAGTTTGAATAGTCCTAAAATTACTTTAAAAATTAAAACACCATGAAAAGTCCTGCCAAAGCAAAACATCAGGCTCAGATAGTTTCACAGGTAAGTTGCCCCAAATCTTCACAGAACCAATCATTCCAATCTAACAAAAGTTCTTCTTGTGTTCAGGAAAAAAGACATCACTGTCCAACTCACCCTATATGTTCAGTGTAATCTTAATTTACAAAATCAGGCAAGATTAGTAAGAGAAATGGAAATTATAACTCAATCTCATTCATAAATATTGGTGCAGAATCCTTTTAAAAATTTGCAAAAAAGATCCACGTGTGTTTTTAAAAATATCATGTTAAATTATTCCAAGAGCAAGGTTGGGTTGACTTCAGGAGACCTACGAGCATCACTGCCTAGTGAAGAATTCACTTTTCCCAAAGAGAGATCTGGCCTTTGTTCTAGCTCCTGGGAAGTATCCCCCAAACTCTTGAAATTTCCTGAGGGAGAAGAGTGTTTTTGTTATCCCTGGGCCACACTTGAGAGTCTACCTTAATGAGATGACTCAGGGTGGGGACTGTTCATGCCAGAAAGACCAACTATGTGATTAGAGAATTGGGGCTTTGGGCCGCTTGAAATCAGCCTGACTTGGGCAAGCAGTGGTGCTGCTGGAAATGGAAATCAAAACCATGTGGGCAATAATTCAATCAATCATACCTATATAAGGAAGCCTTGATCAAATTCTGGACACCAAAGCTTGGATGAGCTTCCTGGGTTGGCAACACTCTGCTTATTACCACACTTTGATGCTGGGAGGGTAATGCCTCCCAGAGGACACAAAGGCTTTGTGTTTGAAACTGAGTTCCAGATTCTGCCTCATGTCTGTTCCCTTGGGGGTTCTATTTTGTATCCTTTTGCTAAAAGAAAACTGTAAGAATAAGTATAGCATTTTCCCGGGTATGTGAGTCATCCTAGTAAACCCAGCAGTCCACATCCCTAACTGTGTAGACAGCTGGTCTAGGAGAGGATAGCCCTGAGGACTCCTGAACTTGCAACCTGCGTCAGAATTTTGGGGGCAGACTTGACAGTCTGGAGGATTGTGCCCTTTGGCTTGAGTTTGGACAACTCTGGCCTGACATCCATCACAGTAACAGACTGAATGAGAAAAAAAATTGAAAATCTCAATGCATGCAATGTTCTTCCTCATTTTGTTTGAAAAAAGAAACTTTTAGTAAACCAGGATTACAATGGAACTTCCTTAACCTGACAGAGACTAAACAAACAGTATAAATACAAAACTGTTTGCAGTATTTCCTTTAAGATCCGGAGCAAGACAAGGGTGCCACTATCACTACTTTTCCCCCCAAATTGCTGGGAAACTAAACAACGCAATAACCAGAAAAATAAATTCAAGGATTAAAAAGGAATAAAAAGACAGTTACTATTTTCTGGTGATATAATTTTCTTTCTATAAAACCCAAAAGAATATATAGATATATTTTCTAAAATAGTAAGTTTAGCAAGGTAGCTGCCTATAAAAGCTATATTGAGAAATCAGTTGCATATCGTAACAGATTTAGTCTGGACACAAAATGCTAGGCAGGGAAAAAGGTCCCATAAGATTATAATCAACACGTTGCCATTTCTATAGAGCTCAAAACCTAGCAAAACTAAATAATAAACAAGCATACATACATTTGAAATAAGACCCTCTCTCTCTATATATATATATATATTTAAAAACAATGATGCACACAAGAAAGTATACCAAGTTGTTTGGTAGCTGTAAATAGGAAACATCCTACATACCCATCAACAAATAAATAAGGCAATAATGGGAAACAGAGTGTAGCATGTTCATACAATAAAATATTATTCTATAATAAAAAGAAAGAACTCCACATACACTCAATAACATGGATGAACTTCAAAAACATTATGGTGAACAACACTTTTTAAAAACTAGACACAAAGAGTAGACATTGCTCGATTCAGTGTACATGGAATTCTAAAACAAGCAAAACTAATTTACGGGGGAGAGGAAAGAGCAGTGGCCACCTCTGGCAGGGGAGAGGCAATTGGATGGTATATAAAGGACTTTCTGAGGTAGGAAATACATGTTTTGAATAGGATACTGGCTCTGTGGGTGCAAACATTTCTCAGAATTCCTCAATCTATACACTGAAAGCCTGCACGTTGTTTTGTATATAAATTACATCTCCATTTTTTAAAAAAAGAACATATAGAGGCAACTGGGTAGCTCAGTTGGTTAAGCATCTTGGTTTTAGCTCAGATCATCATCTCATGGTTGTGAGATGGAGCCCAAGTTGGGCTCTGCTATCAGCGTGGAGTCTGTTTGTCCTTCTCCCTCTGCTCTTCCCCTATTCTCTTTCTCAAATAAATAAAGAGATAAATAAAATCTTTTAAAAATTTTTTAAAAAGAATATATGGAAAGACATTATGTAACCAAAATACAACAAAAAAAAAGCAAAGTCTTGAGAAACACAAAATTTAAGATTGTAGTTACTTGGGTTTTGGGGGGGAGAGTAGGTAAATTGGGAAAAGGAAGGATCACGACTCATTGGTGATATTCTAGCTGCTGATTTGGGTGCTGGATCCAAGGATTCATTATATCTTATTTAACATATATGTCACATTCAATATTTTCAAAGTATCAAATAATCTATCTTTAAAGATACTGAAAGCAAATGACCACTTTGAGATGAGAAGAATAAAAAAGATCCATGAAGGAAGTACACCTGAAGGAGAGAGAAAATTTTTATAGGCAAGGTTGGCAACAGAAATTCTAGATAGGATACTGATTTTAAAACTGACAAACGCTATACTCCCTTCAGCAGCACATGTCCTAGAATTGGCAAACTCCCAGACGTAAGGCAGAGCAAGTTCTTTTCAAATGACTGAAGCACTTGATTATAGCCTATTTTACATTGTTCTTGCTTCTAGAATGGAGGTCATGTGTCACCAACAAGGTGAACTTCGTTGAGCATATGGACCAGGTAATATACTATTTTTTAGCATCTCTCAAGGAGCCAAACATTTATATAATATTTGATCAATAAATGTGTTGGGCATCTAACCTTGGTCTACAATTGGTTAAACAGAACACTAAAAATTATTATTTTTTTAAAGATTTTATTTATCTAATCATGATAGACATGGGGGGGGGCAGAGACACAGGAGGAGGGAAAAGCAGGCTTCATGCCGGGAGCCTGACGCGGGACTCGATCCCTGGACTCCAGGATCGTGCCCTGGGCCAAGGGCAGGTGCTAAACCACTGAGCCACCCAGGGATCCCCAGAACACTAAAAATTAGATAAATTTTCTTCTCTGGTTATTAAACTTATATGCTAAGCTGATAAGGTAACTTTTTCACTGATGTTTGTGTGTATGTGTGCGTGCATGTATGTGATGACATTTACACAGTATTGGCTCAGAGAATACTGTCATTTTTTTTTAAAGATTTTATTTATTTATTCATGAGAGACACACACAGAGAGAGAGGCAGAGACACAGGCAGAGGGAGAAGCAGGCTCCATGCAGGGAGCCCAATGTGGGACTCGATCCCCAGACTCTAGGATCATGCCCTGAGCCGAAGACAGACATTTCAACCGCTGAGCCACCCAGGTGTCCCGAATACTGTCATTTTTGATAAGCAGGAAGAATTACTGAATGTTGTTGTGAGTCGCTACAAAATATTTAAGAACAGTAGAAGTCCTGAAATCTAATGTGAGTAGGACCTGCAGTTGGTTGGATGATTGAGAATTTGGGTCACATTTTCCATCACGAAAAGTGAAATATACAACCCCTAAACATTTTATTAGGACTTAAACCGAGCAGTCTCTTTGCACACCAGTCTGCTGACAGGATCTGAGCTGGGTTTTGCACAGGTCCCTAACTCTGGTCATCTGCAGGGGTCCACGGTGGCCATACATCTCCAGGAACGGCACTCAGCGTGCCTGGAAACTCCACCAGGCTGTCGCATGTTTGCTTTCCTCCCCAAGTGGGGCCTCTGGGGCAGCAGCTCGGATCACCTGGGACCGTGTTAGGAACACAAATCTTCAGGCCCTGCCCCAGACCTGCTGAATCAGAAACTCTGGGGGTGGGGCCCTGATACGTATTTTAACACAATCTCCTCATGATGCTGACGCATGCTAATGTTTGAGAACCACTGTGCTTCGTCCCGAACTCTCTGTCCCTTTCAGTTCCTCAGGCTGCACTGAAAAAAAAAAAGAAAACAAAAAATTCAGAAGTAAACAAGCTTGCCACCGTCAGAATCACTCTTTGCTCCTGCCCTGAGAAGGCGCACCCAGTTCAGATGCACAACGCACCTGGGAATCATCCTCAATTCCTTTCCCTCCTTGATATCAAGTCCTGTCCCCAAGGCGTGTCCCAGGTCACCCACTGCTGTCCATCTCCTTGACCACACCCCAGTCGGAGCCACCAGCCTCTCATGACCTGATTCTGCAATAGACTCCTCCCTGGTCTCGCTCCCTCCACCTCTGACAGCCACCATTCTCCACCAGGACCCAGATGCGCTCTTAAGCACAAGTCAGATTCCACTGCTCCCCTGCTCAAAGCCTTTAGGATGGCTGTGCCATGAACCATGAACCTGAAGCAGAAGTCAGACCCTCTATCCAGGCTTAAAAGCCCTCCCTGACCATTGCTCACACTGTTCCCGGAAAATGTTGCTCCCCATACTGGGCTACATTGACCTTCCTTTGGGAAATATACCAAGGCTTGTTTCCACCTCAGGGTCTTTGCACCTGCTGTTCCCACCTGCCTAGAAGGTTCTCCTCAACTCTGTGAAGCAGGATTCTTCTTGTCATTCACATCACAGTCAAAATAACACAGATCCTGCTGCCTATCTGCCTAATCTAAAGTCACTATACCCGACACAGCCTAGCTGTTGGTTTTTCCTGTCTGCTTCCCCACAGGGCAGAGACCCATTAGGGTCCTTTTTATCATCCCCACATCTAGAGCAGAGCATGCAATGCGTGCTCAATACCCATTAGCAAATGATGAACACGTGTTGACAGGAGCGTTGGGGAAAGCTGTTGCAGAGTGCCCGTCGCTGTGCATGTGGCCCTCCGTGCCCTCTTTTCCAGCTGCTCACAAAACCCTCCACATAGGGGAAGCTCATGTCTCCAGAGAGGCTTCGAAGTCAGACTTGTGCTTCTGTTGGATGCATCACAATGCAAGTTACATTTTATTTAGAATTTCTGTAGTCTAGTAAGCTACCACTCTCCATAGACATTGAAGTATAAAAAGGTCCTCCAGATTCTTATGCTTTGTGCTTAGGATTAATTAGAATTCTCTCGGAGCGCCTGGGTAGCTCGGGGGTTGAGCATCTACCTTTGTCTCAGGTCATGATCCTGGGGTCCTGGGATGGAGCCCCACATCGGCCTCCCTGCTCATCAGGAAGCCTGCTTCTCCCTCTCCCTTTGCCTGCCCCTCCCCCTCCTCATTCAATGTGTGTGTATCAAATAAATAAAATCTTTAAAAAAATTTCTCTCATCTCCATACTTAGAAGCCCATGATTATATAAATTTCTTTTTTATTTAAAGATTTATTTATTTATTTATTCATGAGAGACCAGAGAGAGAGGCAGAGACACAGGCAGAGAGAGAAGCAGGCTCCATGCAGGGAGCCTGACGTGGGACTTGATCCCAGGTCTCCGGGATCACACCTTGGGCCGAAGGCTGTGTGAAACCGCTGATCCACCCGGGCTGCCCATAAATTTCTTTCTTTCTTTCTTTCTTTCTTTTTTTTAAATCCTATATCTCCTTCTTCACAGATTCCTGCACTATTCCCAACTCCCTTCAACCTCCCCACCGTCTCTCCCCAGGGGCCTTCTTGCCCTGCTGCAAATCCTCCCTCCTCTGCCCCCTTGACCTGCGGTGGGCCGCCACGCTGCGCTGCCTCTGAACCACTGCTGGACCTGACTTTGAAAACGTGTATCTCCCGAAATCGATTCCCTGCTTTGAATGTCCCTGGATGTCACACAGTGCCTTGCCAGCTAGCTTTAACAACCCCCATGGCGCTGCTACCCCTTCACCTCCAGGGGAGTCTTCACTATACCTACTCTTGCCCTGGGTCCCCCTTTACCCCTTGCCTGCACCTTTCCTTTCTGTCCTGCCCTGATCTGCAGCTGGGCATCCTCTCTGCTGTAAGGCCAGGGTGGCCCGGCTCAGAGCAGCCCTGGCAGTGACGGAGGAGCCCATCCAGGACAGCAACAGCAGTCAGCTGTGTCACAGGCACACTCAGTGGTCAGCGGCCTTTACCTCCCCTCTCCATGGCTTCCTCCCAAAAGAACAAGCACCGTGACAATCCTACAGGTGGAGCCCTGAGGCTGATTGCAGTAAGGTATCCCCCACCTGGGGATGGTGGAGCAGGGCTTTGGACAAAGTCTTCTGAGCCCCGAGTGCACAGCCCTGACCCTCGCCTTGTGCCGCCAACAGCAGAGCAGGGCTCCGGGTTACCACTAGGTCAGTGGAGCTGACCGGGCTCCCCCGAAGCTCTGGTATGGGCCTTGTTAGGACCAAGGTGACACTGCTGTGCACTCAGGATCCACAGTGTGCAGGTCCGGTCCTCACAGCCTCTAAGCTCTCAGCAGCTGCACTTCCTCCCCATGAGGACAAGGGGAGGGACAAGCTCTGTCCTGGAGCTGCCCAGTCCGCCGCGGGCCACAGAACCTGAGATCAGATGACACAGTTGGCCACCAATTGGTCACACTTCACCCAGGGGCAGATATGTGACCTGCATTTAAGGGCAGCCCCTCTGCATTGCTGATGAGGTTGCATTTGAACAGGATGAAACTTTGGCCTTTGCCACTTTTTATTTTTTTATGTTTTTAATTAAATTGCCTGGGTCAGTGACACCTGCAGAGACTATGAAACGCAGCCTTGCATTTTGTTAATGATACACCATCTGTTTGTTCACACTGTGCGGTCACATGATCTTTGCTCTGCAGAACATCCTGTCTCACTGGCCTAAACCAGTTTGTGGGTGAAATGCTTGGGATGGGTGCCAGAAAGTCTTCTCTTCTCCCTTTTTCTTTCTTTTTTCTTTCTTTCTTTCTTCCTTCCTTCCTGTCTTTTCCTTCCTTCCTTCTCTCCCTCCTTCTCTCTTTCCTCCCCTCCTTCTTCCTCCCTCCATCTCCATTTCCCTCCCTCTCCTCTCTCTCACCCATTTTAAGATTGGCTATTGACCTCTAACTGAATTTATGTTACTGTTCATGCCACCCAACTGCCCCGTTTCTGTTGCAGTATTTTGGCCTGACTTCTGACAGGTGCCCCTGGAGACCAGAGGAGGTGCAGACAGCTCAGACAACTGGGGGAGAGCCCACAGCAGACGCTGGAGGGCAGTGCTGCCCACCCAGGCTCAGAGGTTGCAGAGAAATCCACTTAACACCCCTGGGGCAGCAGAGGCTGAGAGAGGCTGGAGAACCCCTCTGACCTCACCCAGAGCATCATTGACTCATCTTCACCCATAACATTCAGGACAATTGGCTCATCTCACATGATAATTAGATTAGTTCCCTGAAGAGTGTTGTAGCTGGGGAGTTTTAAGAGCTTTAAATTTTATGCATTTCGATGAAGACTGGTCCTCACAAAGAAAAAGTAGCGAAAGCACAGATTTTGACGCTCCGGTGGGAAGTTCCATTGCTCTTGGTCCCCGATGGGGCGGGGGCGGGGAGGGGTGTGGAGAGAGAGAGCCCAGGCTGCTCTGTGCATATCTCCCCACGCCCAGGTGCAGGTGCGGCATGGGGAGGGGGAGCACAGCCATGGATGAGACCCAGGTGTTGACCTCGAGGCACCTGGTATTCGTGTCACGGTTGCATGGCCATGAAATATATTTATGAAACAATTCAGAACTTAGACATTCCAAAAAGTTTGAATATCTGCCCTCAGACACACAGCTCTGTAGCCTGAGAAACTATGCTTCAGTCGCTGTGACACTATGTGATAAGGTGACAAGCTCCAAGAGTGCTCTTCTGAAGGGACCAGGTGCCCAGAGCACCAGGAGGCTGTGAGTAGGATACTGGCAGATGGCCCAGCCCACTGGCATTTAAAAGCCTGGGATGCTCATAGGCGTGGAATCCCAAGGATGCACCTGCCAACAATGACCCCTTGGTCTCCTGGCTTCTTCCTTAGGATGATAAGACCCCTGGGACTGCCCTCTTCCTTGTCTGATATCAGATTCACTTTCTGGTTGTAGTTGGCGAGGAGGGGTGCCACGCATTGGCTGTCTGATCTCCCCACTTCCTCAGGGGCCCTGATGACAAGACTTAAGGTGTTCGCACATGTGGTTGTGTTCGTGTGTGTGTGTGTGTGTGTGTGTGTGTGTGTGTGTGTGTTGATGCCAACAGACAGATCGTTTTGTGGAGGACATGGCCCATGTGGATGATTCATCCTTAGGTGTTTCACACTTTGGGCTTAGGAAATACTTCTCCAATCAGCAGAGAACCAATAACCCAGAACCTCTCTTATCAGCTTCTGATAGGAGTCTGCAGCCCATAAAACCCAGCTCGCACACTCCCTGCTGAGAAACATGTGCACCTGCACTACTTGGCCCAGAAGGTTATTACTCAGTCACTTCGTGAGTCAAGTGCAGGCATTGTTCCTCCTGTCCCCTTGTCGCTGAAGAAGAGCAACCCTGCTCCAAGAGCGGACACTGGGGACCCTGCCGGACATGGGTTTCTTAGCTACCACGTTGGCCCTCAGAAGGACCACAGCACAGCAGGTTTTCCTGGTGAGGCAGTGACTGATGCTAATCATGGGGGTTTCCTGCTATCTAGTCAATACCTCCACACTGACTCAGTTTTGGGATATCGACCCCTATTGGCACTAAAATAATTTGTGCTGTTATTCCTAGATGATGAGGCTAATGAAAGAGAGAACAGTGGTTTGTGGCCTGCACCAGGAAAGGAACATGACATACTTTTCAAACTTGCTTTAAGAATTCCAACCCCCCCCCGCAAAAAAAAAAAGAATTCCAGCCCAGCTTCACCAATGAGCGCTTAGTTTTATGCATAAAACAGGTCACATGCCGCTGTCACCCAGGGGTGGCTCTTTGGGCAAGAGCATGATTCTCTTTGAGAGGCCACAGACCGCTGGCCATGCTGGGCTTGTGCCGTTTTCCTTTTCCTCCTCTGCACAGTGCGACTGCATAATCTTGTAATCCAAAGAAAGCAGAACTTTTTTTCTTACTGCCAGCTCCACTACAAAATAAAATAAGATGTCCAGTGAATGACCAATGTGTGTTCACTGAGGAGCTACAGACAAGAAAATCCTCAATATGGAATCTCCTCCTCAGGAGGTAAATTGAGGAATGGTTATTTTTGAAGCAGCTCCAGCCTTGGAAGAAAATTAGAGCAGAAATGTGGTCTTTGCAAGTATCGACCTCAGTTGAAATTTGTGAGGGGGCAGCGCAACTCTGACTTGGTCTTTTCCAGAATCCTCACTCCCCAGCTTCCTACCCACCCCTACCCTACCCATCCTTCAGGGCCTGGGTCAACCCTGCCTCCTACAGCAACCACCCCAGGTCCTCCCATGGGTGGACTCCCATGGGACGTGGGGTGTATCATTTAGGACCATCTAGGTCAGGCCATGGCCCTGTATAACCTCAAATCCTACACAGTCTGCAAGGTTCTGGTCTTTAGAGTCACATGGGCAGACAGGGGCCCCATCAGGCATACATTCCTGTGGTCATTGAAGCATGGGGAAGGAAAGGGGGGACAGAGAACACTGGCCTTTCGAGTATCCACCCAAAGTGCTATGTATCACTTCTGCTCATGTTTCCTTGAGTCAAATGGCCACTCCAGCCACAGAGGGAGTAGGAAGCGCCATTGTACCAGGAGCTCAGAAAGGAAGAGCCACAAGGATCTGGAAAAGAACTCTAGTGACTTCCACGGGGCCCAGATCACCACATGTGGTGCTACAGCTATGCCAACGCCATTGCCCGGGGAGCCCCAGGCTGGAAAGGGAGGCCCACTTGGTCAGCCCAGGCCATTCCATCCACATGGTCAGGCTGCAATAGCATTGTGCTTGGTTCCATGTGAGAACAAAGGCTTCTTTCTCAATGTGGTTGTGCCCCTGCTGCCTGTCCGGGACTGGTACCTGTGGCCGCTCCACAGATGCAGCAGGGCGACCTGGGCCTCTGTGCTCCCCGAGGTATCAGGATAGAAGTTGTGCTGCTCCAATTATACCATTGGCTTCCTGAGGTCAAGAGCTTGTCTTCCCCTCCTGAGCCTTCATTAATTCAATAGCGTGTGCTCAGCCCTAGACTCAGAAAAGAAAGAGGAAAAAACAAACCAACTGCAATCTCTGCCATCCAGGGTCTCAGACCAACTCTCCTGTAAAACACAGGAATGACGGGCCTCATGCTGTAACCCTGCACCGCAGACATTTCCACGAAGCACCTGCAGAGCCCGGGGGAGGATGAGGTGACCAGGAAAGGCTTCTGTCTTCTCTCGAGAGACCAGTAGGCAAAAGCACAGAGAGCTGAAAGTGCTTTATCTCCACATTCCAAGGGCGTAGGGATGGCCAGCCAAACCCCAAGGGTGGGTAGTGATGTTCTAGGCTTTGTGAGCCACATACTCTCTCTGACACATTTTCTTTATGTGTGTATATGTGTGTGTGTTTTATAACCCTTTAAAAATATAAAAACTATTCTTAGCTCGCAAGTAATACAAAAACACAAACAGGCTAGGGCACACCCAATAAGATGGTTAGAATCGAAAAAAGGCAGTTAATAACAAGTACCAGGGAGGATGTAAAGGGCCTGGACCCTCATACTTCACTAGTGGGGGTGTACAATGGGGCAGCTGCTGCAGAAAGTGGTCTGGTGGGTCCTTAAAAGGCTAAGCACAGAGTTACCACGTGACCCAGTGATTCCACCCAAAGGTATAGACCCAAGAGAACCAAAAACCTATGTCCATACCACACTTGTGCATGAATGTTCACAGCAACATTATTCATAATCACCAAAAAGTGGAAACAGCCCAAATGTCCATCGACTGGTGATTGGATGGGCAAGATGTGTTATATCTGTATAATGGAATTTTATCCAGCAATAAAAATGAATAAAGGACTGCCACACATTACAACGTGGATGAAGTTTGAAAACATGCAAAATTAAGGAAGTCTGACACAGGAAACCACTTACTGCAGAATTCCGTTGATAGGAAATGTCCAGAACAGGCAAATCCACTGAGATGGAAAGTAGATGAATGGTTCCCTTGGGTTAGAGGGGTTGGGGGTGAAATGGGAGTGACTGCTAGTGGGTACAGAGTTTCTTTCCGGGGTGATGAAAATGTTCTCCAATTAGATAGTTGGGTTGGTTCACAGCTTTGTGTGAATACATTAAAATACACTGAATTTTATATATTGAGTATAAATTTTATGTACATGAATTACACCTTGATTAAAAAAAAATTTTTTTTTAACAGCCCAAGGACCTTGGTCTGCCAAAGCCTGGGTCAGTGAATGGAAGGAAGAGGAAGGAAGCATAAGGAAGAAAAGTACACGAGAGTTTTAGTCTTGAGGGTCATGTTAAAGGGCTGGGCTTGGTCCTCCAGGCAATGGGGAAGAGCCATCCAGGGGCTCAGTGTGGAAGGAATATGAATGGAGGTGCTTAGGAAAGGGTGGAGGCAGGA